TAATACCAAAACTAGATAAAGACAACTCAATGAAAGAGAATTACAGGCCAATATCCCTCATGAACATAGATGCCAAAATCCTCAACAAAATTCTAGTAAATCGGCTCCAGCAGACCATCACAAAGATCATACACCATGACCAAGTAGGATTTATTCCAGGAAAGCAAGGTTGGTACAATATCCGCAAATCAATAAACATGATACATCACATAAACAAATTGAAAGATAAAAATCATATAGTCATATCAATTGATGCAGAAAAAGCATTTGATAAAATCCAACACCCTTTCCTGATAAAAACTCTCAACAAGGTGAGAGTACAAGGATCATACCTTAAAAGCTATATATGATAAACCCACAGCCAACATCATACTCAATGGGCAAAAACTAAAACCATTCCCTCTAAGAACAGGAACAAGACAGGGATGTCCACTATTGCCACCCCTCTTTGACATAGTACTGGAAGTACTAGCCATTGCAATTAGACAAGAAGAGGAAATAAAAGGCATCCAAATTGGAAAAGAAGTAAAGTTATCCTTATTTGCAGACGACATGATATTGTATATAAAAAACCCAAAAGACTCCATTAAAAAATTAATTGACTTAATAAATGAATTTGGCAATGTAGCAGGATACAAAATTAACGCCAAGAAATCTATGGCATTTCTATACACCAACAGCAAACTTATAGAATCAGAGACTAAAAAAGCAATTCCATTTACCATCGCACCAAAAAAATTAAGATACCTAGGAATAAATTTAACTAAGGAAGGACCTATACGTGGAAAGCTACACGACACTGAAAAAAGAGATAGAGGAAGATGTAAAGAGATGGAAGAACATACCATGTTCATGGATTGGTAGAATCAACATCATCAAAATGTCCATACTTCCTAAAGCAATCTATAGGTTCAATGCACTCCCCATTAAAATACCAACGGCATATTTCACTGACCTAGAAAGAACTCTCCAAAAGTTCATTTGGAACAATAAAAGACCCCGAATAGCCACAGCAATCCTGAGAAAGAAGAGTAAAGTAGGAGGGATCTCAATACCAGACTTCAAACTGTATTACAAAGCCACTGTTCTCAAAACAGCCTGGTACTGGCACAAGAACAGACAAATAGATCATTGTATTCAAATCGAGAACCCAGATATCAACCCAAATCACTATGCTCAATTAATATTTGACAAAGGAGGCACGAATATACAATGTAGTCAAGACAGTCTCTTCAACAAATGGTGTTGGGAAAATTGGACAGATACATGCAAAAGAATGAAACTAGATCACCAACTTACACCATACACAAAAATAAACTCAAAATGGATACAGGACTTAAATATCACACGGGAAACCATAAAAATAATAGAAGCATCCATGGGCAGCAAAATCTCAGACATATGCCAAAAGAACTTCTTCACTGATACTGTCCCTAGAGCAATGGAAGCTAAAGAGAAAATAAACAAATGGGACTACATCAAAATAAAAAGCTTTTTTACAGCAAAAGAAACCATCAACAAAACAACAAGAAAGCCCACTGTGTGGGAGAACATATTTGCAAATGACACCACTGATAAAGGTTTAATCTCCAACATCTACAGATAGCTGATACAACTAAATAAAAGGAAGATGAATGATCCAATTAAAAAATGGACAATGGACCTAAATAGAATATTTTCAAAAAAAGACAAAAGGAAGGCCAAAAGGCACATGAAAACATGCTCAAAGTCACTAATTATCCGAGAGATGCAAATCAAAACAACAATACGGTACCATCTCACACCTGTCAGAATGGCCAACATCAACAAATCAACAAACGACATGTGTTGGCGAGGTTGTGGAGAAAAAGGAACCCTCATGCACTGCTGGTGGGAATGCAGACTGGTGCAACCACTGTGGAGAACAGTGTGGAGTTTCCTCAAAAAACTGAAAATGGAACTCCCAGTAATCCCACTCCTAGGAATATATCCCAAGAAACTAGAAACACCAATCAGAAAGGATATATGCACCCCTATGTTCATAGCAGCACAATCTACAATAGCTAGAATCTGGAAACAGCTAGGTGCCCGTCAGCAGATGATTGGATCAAAAAACTATGGTACATCTACACAATGGAATACTATGCTGCCATAAAAAAGAAGGAATTCTCATCATTTGCAGCAACCTGGATAGAACTAAAGAACATCATGCTGAGTGAAATAAGCCAGTCAATGAAAGAGAAATACCACATGGCCTCACTCATTTATGGATATTAAAGAACATTATAAACTGACAAACCAAAAGTCAGATATAAAGACAGTAAAGCAACAAGCAGACTGTCAAATTACAGCAGGGAGAGTAGGGAGATCTGGGGGAGATAAGAGATCAACTGAAGGACTTGTATACATGCATATAAGTACAACCAATGGACACAAAACTCTAGGGAGGGAGGGTATGTATGGGAGGGGGGGCAATGTTAAAATATGTACACAGATAATTTAATTTTTTTAAAAAGATTCTTTTTCTTTAAATATTAAGATTTATTGCATGTAACATTATATTTAAAATTGTTTTTCTTTAAATAAAAAAGGAAAGATGATTAAAAAAAAAAGAAGGGAAAGAGGGAGGGAAGAACTTTATAAAGGAGTCAGTAGAGAGCAGAGTTAAAGAAGGAAAAAGGATGTGTAAGGGAACTGTAGGAGCTATAATGAAAATCAAGTATTGTTGGGTACTGGGGACAGATTTCAAAAGTAGGAGTCAGAAAAGAAAAAAGATAAATGATAGTAATTAGGCAGATATTAAATAATTAGATATTAAAACTCTGGAAGTAAGTAGAGAAGAATGTGGATGAGAGAGAAAGAGGGAGGGAAGAAAAGTTTTAAAGGGGAGCCAGTAGAGCTTAAAAAGAGAATAGGAAGAAGGAAGAAATGGAGGGAGGGAGAAAAGCAGGTCCAAGGGAGGAAGTGGAGAAAAAAATTAAAGTGGGAAGGGAGGAAGAGGGAAGATAGGAGTAAAGATAAAGGAAAGAAGGAATGTGGGTAGGGAGGGAGGGTAGGAGAATATGGGAAGAAGGATGATGTAACAGAAGTAGGAATTAAGGAGGAACAAAGTTTATAAATGATGAGTCAGTAGGAAAAAGTGTTACATAAAGGAGAAAAAAAATTGTGTGACAGGGAGAAGCCAATAAGGAAGTCAAACACAATTGTGTGTGAAGAGGATAAGATTTAAAAAAAAAAAAAAAAAAAAAAAAAAAGTAATAGAGGTGACCAGGCTGGCAGGGGATGGCAGTTAGGGGGAACAGGCAGGCAGGCAGAGTGGTTAGGGCTGGCAGGTAGGTGTGCAGTTAGGAGCCAGAGATCCCAGTTTGAGAGAGAGATGTCCAACTGCCAGTTTAGGCCCGATCCTGAGTCAGTAGGAAAAAGTGTTAAAGGAGAGAGAAAAATTGTGTGACAGGGAGAAGCCAATAAAGAAGTCAAATACAATTGTGTGTGAAGAGGATAGAGCCTAAACCGGCAGTTGGACATCCCTCTCACAATCTGGGACCACCAGCTAACCGCTCATCTGCCTGCCTGCCTGCTTGAACGCCCTAACCACTCTGTCTGCTGGCCTGATAGCCCGTAACTACCTCTGCCTTGGCCCCTGCCACTATGGCTTTGTTCAGAAGGAAGGCAGAATGACCAGAAGATGTCCACTTGACCTGCTCTAATTAGCATATTACCCCTTTATTAGTATAGATTAGAGGCCCAATGCATGAAGATTCGTGCAAGAATGGACCTTTCTTTCCCTAGTTGCCAGCACCACCTTCACTCTTTCCGACCTTCCCATGCTGACCAGAGGCCCAGAGCTGCTAGGGGTTAGAACACCTGCATCGTTGCCATGGTGATGATGCAAGCACCCTGTCCTAACCCCGGATGCACATATGCAAATTAACCCACCATCTTTGTTAGGTTAATTTACATACTCATTCCTGACTGGCTGGTGGATGTCGCGAAGGTATAGTCAATTTGCATCTTTCTCTCTTATTAGTGTAGATGGTACCTATTCTCTGACTTACTACTCCATTTCCAGGAATCTGAACATAGAAATATACATGTATACTCAGATGTTCAATGGGACATCACTCTAATTGAATACTGCACAACTGTTTTTAAAAACAAGGTGAATATACATGTTACTAATTAACCTAGGGAAAAACCTCCAAGACACAACACTAAGTAAAGGAAGCAGGTTAAATAATATGTCGTATGTTCCCATCTGTTAAAAAATATGTACAACGAATATCATAACCACATGGCATGTGTTTACCTTTGGGGAAGGCTGGAGGAGGACTTCAGACTTTACCCTGTATTATTATACTCTTTTACAAAGTGAAAATATTCATGAGTCGCTTGGATAGTTTTTAAAGACTGAAAATGAAACAAGAAGTTATGGTGTTTGCTTTTTAAGAGGAGTCACCAAATTTGAAAAGGAAACATTCTTCAAAGTCCAGGATAGCAATAAGAAGAAAAGAAAGGTTTAGTAAAAATATATAAACACACACACACATAGATACAAGAATTGCTACATCTGATAAAAGAGGGACTGTGGAGAGAAAACCACAAATTTAACAATTACTCATCTCCCAAGAATAAACATGGGTCTAAGGCATCTCTAAGTCTACAACTACTCTGTACAAAAACATTTATCTTTGCTCCACTAGACTAGGCATCTGTGACTTGTGCACATTTGTGACTTCATACTATGCTGACCAAGGTTTCACCTGCTGCATGAACCACACAATTATGGCCCCCAAAATCATCGTTTGATTTTTAGAAACTTAAATAATTCCTATCATCCCAAGTCCCCAACAAAACTGATGCAGAACTGGTGTGACCAAATGCCACATCAGCTTATGGTTAAGAAGGCTCGACCCCTTCTCAAAAAGGAAGAGAACTTTGTGGATGGCCTCAGAGCAGAGCTCCAGAAATGAGAAGCAGTTATCCCACCCACGCATAGATGAGGGGTTTTTCCTGTGACTTACCTTGAAAGCTACAACTTTTCCGGATATGGTACAAGCAGATCTGTTCACTCTCCTCTTGGTTAGTAGTTGTTGAGGACACAGAACCCGAACTGTCTCTTCTTTCTACAAACACCACAAAGATGTATCAGCTACTGGATTTAATCCCAATAGCAAATACTTGTTAATGAACTATTAGGACTGGGTACCAATACCAAGAAAAAAGCAATAAATGGAAAGTCTACCTCTCAAAATAAAACCTCAATTAATTTTAGGTTAATTCTAATAAATTTAATATAAAAATGATATATAAGTGATTTCAAAGTTTACCTTTACTACCATGTTTCCCCAAAAATAAGACCTAGCGCATGAAAAGATAAGACATCCCCTGAAAATAAGACCTAGCACAACTTTGGGAGAAAAAATTAATATAAGACACTGTCTTATTTTCGGGGAAACAGGGTAGTGCTACAATGAGCCTTTACCTAATAGTTATATTTAATACTCCTCACCTACCACCATATAAGCAAGCATATCACAAACCCTCTCTACTTAATATCACCTGTAATACTACTATTCCTCTTCATTTTCTTTTTATGTGCTCCTCAGACATAAATAGGCTGCACCTCAAAACCTATATTTGTGGGACCCTGGAGGTTACCTCCCTCTGTCCCCAAGGGCAGGTATCCTTTCCTCCCTTACTAACAAGGCCATAATCCAACTGAACTCTTCAAGATCTATTTAAAGCAAAACCTTGTCTACTTCTAGGCTTTCTAAAAGAAATTAACCAAAATTAAACAAAGAAAATGTGAAGGGAAAACACATATTGCAAGGATAATTGTTAAATATATAAAAAATCAGATAAGATTAGTTTTGTCTGCTGGTAGTCCTGACACCTGATATTTTAAGAAGGGTCTATTAAAAATCCTAGATATCGCCAAAACCGGTTTGGCTCAGTGGTAGAGCGTCGGTCTGCAGACTGAGGGGTCCCAGGTTCGATTCTGGTCAAAGACATGTACGTTGGTTGTAGGCACATCCCCAGTAGGGGGTGTGCAGGAGGCAGCTGGTCGATGTTTCTCTCTCATCGATGTTTCTGGCACTCTATCTCTCTCCCTTCCTCTCTGTAAAAAATCAATAAAATATATTTAAAAATCCTAGATATCATTGTAGCTAATAAGTGGATTTGACTGTGCATCCCTGGTGAAACCATGTCTCATAGTCACCAAGACATAACCAGGCCCAGGACAGTAACTATCACTACATGGCAAGCACTAAAATTTGTTGAATAAAATAATAGATAACCAGAATGGCCAACCAACAGCCAGTAATGCAAGGGACACCAATGTATCAAGACCTCTGTGAGGCACTACATTTTTCATTTCCCACACAACAGGTATTGAAGAAATGCTTATTACTTAAATAATACCTGCTCACAATTTCCTCATGTTCCTCTCACTAAGTCTGACATTATTTTTCTTACTATTTTTTTAATCCACACCTGAGAATATTTTCTCCAATGACTTTTAGAGAAAGTGAAAGGCAGGGAGGGGGGAAGAGAGAAAGAGAAACATCAATGTGAGACAGATACATGGCCTAGTTAATTCCTGCACACACCCCAAACAGGGATAGGAATCAAACCTACACTGAGGTACATGCCTTTGATTGGGACTTGAACCCGAGACCCTTGGGTCCACAGGCTGATGCTCTAACCACTGAACAACCAGCCATGGCCTGGCATTCTTTAAAAAAAAACAAAAAAAAACTTATCTTAACATGTTCATTCATTCAACAAATGTCTGAGTGCCTATTGTGGGCCTGGCACTGTCCAGGCACTGGAGTGAACAAAATAAATTTACAATGTCTAAAAAAATTCCATTTATTCATCTCAAGAAGAGACCAACATTATTCTATGCTTTGTTCACTTGTTTTTAAACAATCAAAACAGAATGCAATGTAAAGGATGCCCCTAGAGCTGTGCAGGTCTCCAGGAGACAGAAGCAATTTCCCATCTCAGTGCAAGTAAGGCCCAGCAGGAATTCATTCATTGTCAACACATATTTTGTTGTGTGAATTTTTGTAGAATGTCTTGCTTGTTCATGCCCATGATTTCAACTCATCTTTACAGCCCCCACCAGCTAGAAGGGGATCACTAACAGCATTTTACTAAAAGAAGTACCGACTTATCCAAAGTCACACATTCCATTTAATGGCCAGATGGAACCCAGGAGCCCCAGCAGAGGGCCTTACCAGAAGTCGCCTTTAGGACAGGGGCAGAGCTCTTATTCTTGATGTCATGAGCATTTCTATAAATGGAAGGCATCCTGCTCACCAGATCTGAGCTTATGCCCAACTTCTGCAGTTTTTCCACATTTTCAGAATTAGAGAAATCATGGGATCTCTTACAGCCTGTGCCAAACTTGCATTCACCCTGTACAAAATACTGGCAGACATGGAGTTTGGCACACTGCTTTCTAAAGGAACACGAGCCATGGTGTCCATCTCCTTTGTTGTAGTGAAGGCAGATCTGTTGACAGAGAAGGGAAAAGACAGCAGTTTAGGAAAGCCTCACACATTACACCATCTTCCTACTGACTAGTCCACTGGTTAGATGTGCCTCTAGAGACCCAGCAACTGCTGTGATTTCATCATCCACACAGGCCACACAAAATAAGAATACCCCTCACTCTGGATGACTTAATATATACCTTTGGCTAAAACAGAAACTTTGTGGATGGCAGACTTCTCAAAAGAACCCCCTCTACTGGGAAAAGCCAAAGAACTTCAAACTGATCAAAGCTATTCCTTCACAGGAGACATTTTAATGTAAGTTGCATAACAATTCCTAACAACCCTTATATTCTACCTACACCCTTCCCCCTCATTCACCAACTCTCCCCAATTCATGCCCAGCTTCTCCCAATTCTTTTTTCCGCAACTCAGGGTCAAAGAAGTTCTTAGGGTTTAAAACATCTTAGAGAAGACCAAATGCAGTCCTTTTTTTCTCAAGGGAGCATGCAGACTCAGAGAAGTAAATTCACTTCCCCTAGGTCACACAGCAATCTGGACACACAGTGGTTGTTGAACTGGGTTGTTGGCAAAGCTGGGACTTGAATCAATTAATCTTTCTCTACACTCAAATTCCTGGGGATGAAAACAAGGCCAGAGACCACTAAGGGTTCAAACACGTAATTCACAGGTATTACACTGAGATGATTTAGGAGGGACCCCAAAGGGAAAGGCCAGAGAGGACTGAACCCTAACATTGATTCTGCCACTTACAAGCTGCCTGACCTTAGGCAAGCCACTCACAAGCTCTGAGATTTCGTTTTTCACTTCCTTAAAATGGAAAAATCCCATGTACACTGCTGGGCTATTGTGAGGATTAAAAGTGAAATACAAGGAGTGGCTAATACAATGTCTGGAACATAGTGGGTATTCGATTCATTGTGATGGCCCAAACTAGTCATTGGATGAGGAGTCTAGCCTGAGAATAAATATCCTGACAGAAATGCTACCCTGGGCCTCAGCTCCCATTTGCTGACACTGTGTTATAAATCAATCTGTACTCCCAAGTACACAGAGGCTACACACTCCAGACTGGTCACCTTCTGATTCATTTTTCACACTAATAACAAGAGGATCTCTCCAAAACGTGAAAACCCTCTCTGCAAACACAAACTCCCCCAACACACACACACACACACTCCTTTCCTATGCCTACCCATTTCTTTGTCTCCCCTCTCTAGCCCTAAATCCAGGTCCTACTGACCTACATGCTATCTCCTGATTATGCCAAGTTCACTCCTTTCTGTGTCTCCCTTCCCAAAACTTCATCCTTCAATCATCCTTCAGCTTCCAGAGCAGGCACCATCTGTCCCAGGACATATTCCCCAGCGCCCAAAACTGTGCCCCTGATACAGAGCACTGATTCTATTAGAGCATCTAAAAAAGCACCTTACAATTATTCACTGACTTGTCTATTTGACCCAGTAAACGTCCCTCTTGGAAGAGTAGAAGAGTGTCTTTTATCTCCATATCACCTGTGTCTGACTCATAGAGAAAATTCAATAAAGATTAGCTGAATTAAATCAATATTCATTTTCAAAAGAAAAAAGTTAGTAACTGTTATGTGGCAGTCACTGTGCTATGTAGCACCTTTCTCAAATGAATTATTTTAGCTGAATCATATGGAAGCATTTTCGTTAAAATATTCCAATCTAATCTCTGTTGCCACATTGTAGGCAGTGTCGGAACATTCTTATAACCTGACTGGCCACAGAAAGGCACTGCTCAGATGTGCTGCAGAGCAGTTAACTCTTGGCCCGGCTGCTGCCCTCGGGAGCCACTACCTTCTTCACACAGAGGCCACACTCCTGCAGGATGCTCCCAGCCAACAACAGAGCACGCCATCCTGGGGAGACACCAGCCACCTCCAATAGTGAAGACTTTAGATCAGAACTGCCTGTTGATCAGACAACTTTCTTAGAAATGGGTTATAGTCAGGATATCTTTCTGCCCAGTCTCCTTCCTTCCCTTTCTGCTGCCACAGATGTCAGATCTGCATCATTGCCTGAAGGCTCACCCCAACTTCTTCTCATCCCCCCAAAATCTCTCACACTTATAATCCCATCTTTGTGTCTGCTTCTAGGAAAACCCAAAGTCTTATGTAACCACTGCAATGAGCTTTGAAACAAGTGGGTACCGGAAATGCAACATCAACTAAAGTCAAAATCCTGGGTACAACTAAATTAATAAATAACACATCTGCCTGTCAGCAGCCCTAGAAAGCTTTTCTACAGAATCAACTAGGTCCAGTGATACCTGCATGGTTCCAGGTCCTGCTTGCAGGGAGGAGCTGACTGGAGTCTCTCATCTCCTCAGCTGTGTAAATAATGTCTTGCTGCAGCCACTGCCAAACAGGCTCCCCCACCTCACAGAAGCCCTGGAAAGGCGGTACCAGCCCAACTGATACAGAAGGAAAGGCTTCAAGGGGCAAGTTCAGTCCCCAAGGTCACAGAACTGGGAATTCAAACCAGATCTCCTCCAGGCAGATCCCAATGATCATGACGGGGGCCTAAGCTTCTCTTCTGCCATAATATTTCCTATCTTCCAACCTTCTGGCCTCTTCCCAAGTTCTTGCTCACATACTCACCCCCTCCCAGCACTTACCTCTGGTAAAAGCCAAGGGTCATTCTGGAACAAGAGCTGGCAGAGTTCATTATAGCTGAGATGATCAACACCATGGGTTTTTAGCACACTCAGATTATGCTGGGTTGTCAAGGTGTGACTGTTTCTACAGTTCTTCCTGCAAAGGAGCAGAGCTAGTGTCACAATTGAATTGTGTCTCCACAAAATTCTTATGTTGAAGCCCTAATTGCCAGTACATTAAAAGTGATTGTATTTGGAGACAGTCTTTAAAAGGGGGTGATTGCCGGAACCGGTTTGGCTCAGTGGATAGAGCGTCGGCCTGCAGACTGAAGAGTCCCGGTTTCGATTCCGGTCAAGGGCATGTATGTTGGGGGCGCATCCCCAGTGGGGTTGTGCAGGAGGCAGCTGGTCGATGATTCTCTCTCATCGATGTTTCTAGCTTTCTATCCCTCTCCCTTCCTCTCTGTAAAAAATCAATAAAATATATTTTTTTTAAATAATAAAAAATAAATAGGGGTGATTAAGTTAAAATGGGGTCACTGGAGGGGGACCAAGCCAATCTGACTGGTATCCTTACAAGAAGGGGTTAGAGGATACAGATTCACACAAAGGGAAGACGGTGTGAGAACATAGGGAGAAGATGGTCATCTACAAGCCAAGGAGAAAAGAAAATAACCATTGATCTCTAACTTCTAGCTTCAAGAAAATAACCATTGATCTCTAACTTCTAGCTTCCATAATTGTAAGAAAATAAACTTCTGGTTTAGCTGTGTTAACTTGTGGCCCAAGCAAACTAATACAATTATCAATCTTTAAGATAATTACTAATTATCAATTTTTAAGATAATTGTACAAGAATAGTTCCTTACATTGTTTAGAAGCACTGGAGAGAAAAAAAGCATTTCTATGCAACGATAAAACAAAAAGCTTATTTACAAAGGAAGAGATGGTAACTTGTAAATTGTGGAATCCAGAACAGTGCCTCTCAGCAGGTATCTAATGAGAATGACAAGGCCATTCTCTAAAGAAGAGTCATAGCATACCAGTCACTGGACATTTAAACAACGGCTGAATAAATAAGTATAGCTGCCTTACACTCCTTTGAGACCCAGCCCTTTCTCTCCCCCCAACCCCCCATTTTTGGATCAACAGCCCTTGATAAACACTCATTGTGAACCAGGCACTGGCACCATGCCCCAAGGATCCAAAGACTTCAACTGAAGGCCCTGATCAACATGACTGAAAAGAATCAGGCAAATACCATTTGCTTGACTCAGACACAGCCATACTTCATACACCATGCTTATTACAAGCATCTCAAAAGAAAAACAAATCCTTGATTGACTCCTCCAAACCTGCACCTCCCACAGGCCCTGCCATCTCAGTAAAAGACCATTTCCCTCTTGTTTGGAGTCATCCTGATTCCACTCTCTCATCTAGTGGAGGTGAAAGACACAGAGATGACTTTAAAATGGAGCGGAAAGTACAAGGTCAGGTGTGCTCAGAATATATCAGTGTGGAGAGGAGGGGCACTTGACCCTGATGGAAATGGGGAAGCAAACTAGAGGGAGCCTGAGCCAAATTCTTAGGGTTGAAGAGGATCCAGGCAAGAAAAGAAGATTCTAGGCAGAGGGGCTAATAACAGGTGATGCCAGAGCCAAATCTATCTAATCATTATAATGATGATGACTGCTAAAACTTTTTGAGCATTTACAATAAACCAGAGGTCACCCAAACGTTTTCTTTGTTAATTCGTTTAGTCCTCAAAAATTCTATGAAGTAGATATTATTTTTTAAATTTATTTATAAAAGGTATTACAGATGTCCCCTATTTTCCCCATTGACCCCCTCCACCCTGTTCCCATACATCCTCAGGCAAGATAGGTGGTATTATTATCCCCATTTTGCAGATGATGGAATTGAGGCTCAGATATAAAGTAACTTGCCCAAGTCCACTCAGCTAGCAAGGAGTGGAGGCACGGTTGGAACAAGGTAGTCTTGTCTTCAGGGCTGTGCACTTGACCACAATGCTCACTATCCCCCTAAGCATGGAAGGAAGTCACTTCCTTCCCAGCTGTCACCAATGAAAAGCAACAGTGAGAATCTATTTCTGAAACAGCTGACCTGAGGTTCAGGAATACCGGTAAAGATGCAGGAAAATACATAGAAAATGCAACCGGACACATACACTCTCCCTATGTGACCCTGAAACAGAGAAGGAAGGGGCAAGAAACTTTTGTGTGAACCTCAAGGAAAAGGGAAAGGTGAAGAATAAAGAAGATGTGGAAATCTAATGAACAAAATAATCTAACAAACAAAACAGAAGCACATACACATAAAACAAATGGAGCGCTGGGTGAAAAAAGGTGAAGGAATTACACAAAAATAAGAATAATAATACCATGGCCCGTATGGCTCAGTTGGTTGAGCATTGTCCCATGCACCAAAAGGTCCCCAGTTTGGTTCCAGTTTGATTCCAGTTTAGGGTGCATGCCCATGTTTTCAGTTTGATCACTGGTCAGGGTGTGTACATGTGGCAACCAATTAATGGTTCTTTCACATCAATGTTTCTTCTCTCTCCAAAATCAATGAAAACTTATTTAATAATAACAACAATAACGCCATAGACACAAACAACAATATGGTGATTGCCAGAGGGAAAGGGAGTGGGGGAAGGTGGAAGAGGGGAAAGAGAATTTACTTTGGGTAGTGAGCACATGATGTAGCATGCAACTGTACACTTCAAACGTGCATGGTTTTATTAACCAATGTCACTAAGTAAATTCAACTTAAAATAAAAAGAAAACTCAGAATCATCTAGGCCAGTAAACACCAGATGTCCAAATTTCCAAGACAAGTAAAATTTGACCCCAAATTTTGGGAAGCAGCCTAAGAATAGAGCTGCCATCTTCATCTTACCAAATGGACATTAGCGTTAACAAGATTCACTAATTATCCCCATTTACTGTGTCTGCCTTCTTCTTCATCTGCTGCTCCTCACTGTCCCCTGAGATGCTTCTTCTCCACAAGTCCCTGAGGGACCAATTTCCTCATGGTTCCACCCTCAGACTCTCATCTTAGATCTGACCCACTCCTGGAGCCATGGCCTATACCACCCAACAACTCCCAAACTAGCCAACCAGGGCCCTGGCCATCCTCTCAAGCTTCTAACCCCTGGACAGGTTTCAAACAAAAATCCTCTCCTGCTCTCTCAGCCAACAAGAAATGAAAGTAAGAGTCATCTCTCTGTCAACAAATTGACAGAAAACTGTCATCACCTCTCTCATACTGTCACTACACTCTCACCATCTCCCCAAATTTTTCACACATACACCCGGTCTTCTTAAGCCCTTACTTGGACCTTGCAATATTCTATTCCAGATATTTCTGGACAGCTGCGTCCCAGAAACTACATTCCCAGCCCCATCTAGTGGGACCATGAGACATCTTGTGGTCCAGAGGATGTAGGTAGAAGATTGTCTACCACTTCCAGAACCGGTCCATAAAAACCTTTCTCCACCCCTCTACTGTGCATTTTCTCCATCTACTTTCTGGAATCTGATACCCAGAAAGCCTTAAGAGCTGAGGAGAGTCTAGATCAGCCAGTGGGTCTAGATCAGCCAGCCTGGGTTCCAGAATAGCTGCATAGATCAGGGACCCTACCTCACACTGGCTATTGAGCCTGATATGACCCAGAAGTAATGTCTACTGTGTTAAACCAGAAAAAGAAAAAGAAAAAGAAAAAGAAAAAGAATAAGGAAAAGAAAAAGAAAAAGAAAAAGAAAAAGAAAAAGAGAAAGAGAAAGGAACTAATTATTTCCGATAAATGAACTGATTTCCAATCAGGTCCCCATCGGATTCTCCTGTAAATCAGCATCCACACAGAGATACATTTCCTAAAGGCAGACCTGATGGCTGCTCTCTCCTGCCATCTCACAGGCTCCTATCAAACTCTTAGCCCAAACCTAGTCCGTCCACCTCACAGAGCACCTGCTGCATGCAGCGTGGGAAACGGCCAGCCAGGGCCATGACAGGGCCCCCGCCCACCCTCCTCGGCCTTTGGTTTCCGTTCTTCTAGGGCAGAGGTGAGAAAGGAAAAGGGACAAAGTGATGGAGAGGAAGGCGGCGGCTCGAAAAGGAAAGTGATCTGTGAGGTAAGACCAGGAAGCGGGACCCAGACCAGGAAAAGCGTTCGCATTCCACGCAGGGCAAAGGCCACCAGGTGGGCAGAGGCGGGGAGGGTTCCAGAAACCAAAGGGCGCCCGGGCCGGGGCCGTGGCCGGGGCGGGGCAGAGGGGGGCAGGGCTGAGGGCGGCAGGCCAGTTCCCCAGGGGCCTCCGGGGTGTGAGGAGCTGGCATTTTATCCCAAACAAAGGCCACAGAATCCTCTCCCGGTGGGTCAGCCGGAGGGAACGGGCACTGAGAGGTGCCTTCCGCTGGAGCTGAGGGAGCCGCCGGCTTGAGGCCTCCAAGGCAGGAGGCAGGGCGTCGTGGGGAGCGAGCCTCGGCCTGTTTTCTTCAGAGGAGCCCGCCCCTCCCCCCGCGTCACGCGCCCACCTTCCCCGCCCCCCATTTTCCCCTCCCCCTTCTTCGCCCTGCCCCACTCCCCCGCCGGTGCGGCCACACCCGGGCTGTCTCAGCCTCTAAATCACTCTTCCGCAGTCAGGAGCCTCAGGCCATGGCTCCGAATCCCGCCCACACACAGTGCCAGGCATTCAGTAGGTGCTCAATAAAAGCTCCCTGAGGAGAATTAGGGGGAACGGCCACCAAACCACCTCCCCAAACTTGAGAAAGGGCTCGAGGCCGGCGACCGTAGGGGACGCGGCCCTCGCCCCCCTCACCCCTCACCCTTCACTCGGACTCCCTCACCCCTACCCCGGCCCTCCCGCCGCCGCCGCCCCCAGCCCCGGCCGCGCCGCCGCCGCCGCCTCACCCGGTTTTGAGGAACTTGCAGGCGCCCAGGACCATGAACTTGCACAGGTGCAGCTCCCCGCACAGCCCGGCGCAGGTGGGCTTGAGGCCCTGGTGGCCGCGGCACAGGCGCAGCGCGGACACGGCCAGCACCACCCGCTCGGGGCCGGCGGCCGCGCCGCCTGCGTCCGCCCGCGTCACCACCTCGAAGCGGCCGGACTCCCGCAGGAGCCGCTCCAGCGCGTCCGCCCCGACGCCGCCGCCGCCGTCCCGCAAGCGGCGCCGCAGCTCCCGCAGCTCCAGGGCGCCGCCGGCAGCGCACAGCGCCTGGGTCACCTCGGCGAGCGCGGCAGCCTGGGCCATGGCAGCGGCGGCGGGGGCGCAGTGCCCGTCGAGCCGCCAGCTTGCGGGGCGGGTCCCGCGGGGAGGAGACGCCGGCCGGAAGCGAAAGCGAAAGCTGCCCGGGTTCGGGGGAAAACAGAACCCAGGCGGCCTCGCCACGCCCCCGGGCCCGCCGCCGCCGAGCGGGGCTCGGCGCCGTCCCTCCGCGCCCCCGGCGGAAGCGGCCAGCCTGCCCGGCCAGGAGATCATCCTCGCCGTCGGGCCGGCGCTCTGGTGGCGCCCGGACAGCTCGCAGCCGCTCAGGGCAGCTCTCGGGGCCTTTCCCCTCGAGGACGGAGGGCGACGCCGCACGCGCGCTCTCCCCCGGGGCCGGGCGTGTGAGGGAGAGGCCCCACCAAGCAGAGACTGCGGCCGCGCGCCGTCAGGTGGTGTGCGGCGCCCCCTGGGAGGCTGCGTGAGGCCGGGACGCCCCCTGCGAGGCTGCGACGGGCCCCAGCGCCCCCTGGGAGAGTGCGTGAGGCCGGGACGCCCCCTGCGAGGTTGCGACGGGCCCCAGCGCCCCCTGGGAGAGTGCGTGAGGCCAGGACGCCCCAGCGAGGCTGCGACGGCCCCCCGTTGGGCTGCGTGAGGCCGGGGCGCCCCCTGGAGGCTGCGACGGCCCCTGAGAAGCCGGCGGAACCGCGCGAGCCGACCAGACGGCTGCCGTGCACGGCCCCACGCACAACTAGCACCCAGAGCAGTTTCGGTGTTGCTTTCTCCTCCGTTTTGGCAGCGACACCCTCGTGTTAAGCATAAAAGGACACGTTGTTTTAAAAAGCCATGACGCGGCCCCGCGCCCTCTCTGAATAAAGAGTGAACACGTAGCGAGAGGCACAGGGACACGTCGCGGGTGGAAATGTGACCTGTGAGAGCCTTCGGGGGAAGTCGGGGAGGAGCTGCTTACCTGTCTCACGTGTCTGATCTTTGACCCGGCAATCCTTCCTCAGGGAACATTCTAGAACTAAAAGAAACAGCACCCAAGTTATATGTGCCGAGATGTTCAGCGGGGTGGGGGGCGTGGGTACAGGGTGGATCGTTTGCTCGCAAAGCCTTGTGTTAGGTCTCCGGCTGCTGCCCAAACGGCTGCCATGAGCGTTTGGGGAGGAAGAACGCTGTGGGATCAGCGGGGAGAGAGGCCGGCTGTGCGGGGTGGGCAGGCAGTTTGCAGTGAAGCTGTGGCGGCTGAGGGAGGCGAGCGCGGCTGTTCACATCCACGTGGGTCGCCGGCAGCAGGCAGGAGGGACCGGGAAAGTGGAAGATGAGGGGTGGGAAGATCGTGGGGGGATTATAGTATCATATTGCTTTGAACAAAACATTCTATTTATAGCCGAAACTGGTTTGGCTCAGTGGATAGAGCCTTGGCCTGCAAACTGGAGGGTCCCGGGTTTGATTCTGGTCAAGGGCATGTACCTTGGCTGCTGGCACATCTTTAGTAGGGGGTGTGCAGGAGGCAGCTGATAGGTATTTCTCTCTCATCGATGTTTCTAGCTCTCTATCCTTTTCTCTTCCTCTCTGTAACAGAATCAATAAAAAATAGTTTTTAAAAAATTCTAATTATAAATAGTACCAACAAAATATAAAAATCTGTGTATGGAAGAAGAATGGATAGTAACACGGACAAATGGCAATGCATTCATTAGGAGATGGGATGAGGAGCAGTTTTTCTTTGGATTTTCTTTTGTGTGTGTGTGGGGGGGGGGGCGGAGGGGATTTTTTTTCTTAAAATTTTAATTTATTGCCGAGACCGGTTTGGCTCAGTGGATAGAGCGTTGGCCTGTGGACTGGGTTCGATTCCGGTCAAGGGCATGTACCTTGGTTGTAGGCACATCCCCGGTGGGGGGTGTGCAAGAGGCAGCTAATCGATGATTCTCACCGATGTTTCTAACTCTCTATCCCTCTCTCTTCCTCTCTGTAAAATGTCAATAAAATATATTAAAATTTTTAGATTTATTTTTAAATTGTGGCTTAATATTGTACAATAAAAATAACATTTTTTAAAGGAAGGGTGATGTCAGTGGAAATGCTGCAGTAAGGATCTCATAAAGTTTGTCCTTCCTCAACGATAGATTCTCCCTTCCTCCAGTTGATGGACAGACATAAACTCCACCTGCAGCCAGACATTCCTGAGCTCTGAACCACCAATCAGCAATACTTTTCTTCAAAATAATGAATTAAAACTTCCTGCAAATGTTTTTCTTTGGCACGAAATTAGACATTTTTAACCATAAAGATAACTATGATATTAACATCTTCAATAAATTTGACATACAGCATCTCTGTACCTGTTGCACCATGAAGTTTTGAAGCTTGCTGTCAATACAATAAAGCATACATATCAAATCACATATATATATCAATATATGTGTAACTCCATTTATTTTCAAAATCTGAATTATTAACTGGTACACCTGGTAAACAAGTATTCTTTTTGTTGTCTATTTAGTGTATGTCTTTTACATTTTGGTGCTTTTTGTTGGTTATTTCACTGTTTAAAATGATCCCCAAGCATTGTGCTGTATGGCTGGTAGTATTTCTAATAGTAAGGAGGGCCTGCTGTGCTCTGTGAGGAAAATCCCTAGGTTAGGTAAGCTTTGCTCAGGCATAGGCTATAATGATGTGGGTTGTGAGTTCAATGTTAATGAATCAAGAAAATATATTGGCATCTTTAAACAAAAACAAACATATGACAAAGTTGTGCATTAACCCAAATCCCAAAAATGTAACCAGAGGCTCACAGGAACTTAGCTCTGTACTCCCTCTAGAAGCAATGATTTCATATTCTCTAATTCGGTGTTCTTAGAGACTTTATAGACTAAAGGCCCAGTGCAGGAAATCATGCAGGTAGGGTCTCTAGAGCCTAGCCTCCTGTGATCAGGGCCATCTTCGGCCCATTTGCCAATCCCCAGGCTGAAAGCACCCTCCACCACTAGGCTGTCAGGCCATTGAGATCACCAGCTCATCCCTGGCTGCTCGGGCTCAGGCCTGCGGGAAAGTAGGTGCTGGTGACTTCACCTCCATGTGCATGCACCTGGCCAGCTGCTGATGGAAGATGCTGCCCGCTCGGGACCGCTCATGCCGGATTTCGGCACCAGTATGAAAGATGAAATAGAGAAAGGCAGAGATCGAGATGCCAAGACACAGGTTTTATTGAAGAGAAGAGTACCACTGCCGGCTGCTTCCAGAGAGAGGAGCAGAAGAGAGTGAGAGTTGGGGTACAAGCACCTTTAAGGGGAGGAAAGAGAGGGGACACATGGTACCCGAAGAGCTGAAATAAGAGCACAGTGTCATCTCGCTATGTGTGTGTCCTTGAATGACCATGAAAGTACCATACAGTGATTTGAGCTAACAAGTAAATTTTAGTGCATAGGCAAATTTTCAAATATGAAATGTGAGTTTAGGCAGGCTGGACTATAAATACTGATCAGAGTGCGTCCCTCCTCTGGGCTATTATTTCCCTGTACCACCATCCATCAGGCATTGGCTAAGGCCTGAGGGGGAGCAGGAGCAGAAAGAAAACCCTGGGACCTTCTGGCTCTCTGTACCTATTGCACCTAGGCAAAGTGGCGCCTTAGCAAAGTTTGCAGCTGGGCAAAAGGATCTAAAAGCACGTGGGCAGAGCAGTGACCATGACACACTCAGCTCAGGACACAGGAACATCACTGATGGGCAGAGCTAATCCCCAGAGAAAAGAGGAAGCCTGCATTGCTGCAGGGCTGGACACCAGGCTCGGGACAGTATGGGATCCCAGACCAGGCTTTGGTGCTGCTGCAGTGCTAGCACACTGCTTTTCCTAAACTGTCACCCCCTGCTCTGACAGAGGGGACCCTGTCCTGTTCCCATTGACCTACCCAGGGCCCAGCCAGTACTTAATATTCAATAAATATTTGAGAAAGGAATAAACATAGCAAGTGTCACCCATAATCCCGCTACCCACATGGAACTGTATGGATCCCTGTGAATTTGATCTCGATATGGGAAGGACTAGAAGTCCTGCCCTGAGGCTTCATCTGGCCCAAGGTAAAGGATCATTTTAAGGATCATAAGGAAGCCACTGACTCTGTAAAGGGGCATATTTCTTATGCAGTAATCACTGCTGATCTGGTCAGGAGATAATGTGGTAATAAGAAAAATGTTTCCCTTTTTTTAAACATGGATTTATATAAACTTGCCCTGATCAGCATGGCTCAGTGGTTAGAGTGGTGGCCTATGCACCAGAGGGTCACAGGTCCATTCCTGGCACATACCTTGGTTGCAGGTCTAGTTCTTGTCCCCATTTGGGGCGTGTACAAGAAGCAACCAATTAATGTCTCTCTCACATCAATGTTTCTCTCCCTTCTCTTTCTTTTCCTTCCTCCCCCCTTTCTTCCACTCTCTCTAAAAATTCAATGGAAAAAATATCCTCACTCCTAGAGTAGGGATTTTTAAAAAATAAACATGTATTTATAAACTTGATTCACTGAGAGTTATTTGTATGAATTGATCCACTTATGGATTGAATGGTGGCGCCCCCCCCCGCCCTCGAAGTTCATATATTGAAAGTTCTAATCTCCAATAGCTCAGAATATAAACATTTTGGGGTATAGAGTCTTTTAAGAGATAATTAAGTTAAAATGAGTTTATGCCTTGGCCAGTGTGGCTCGATGGTCAGAATTCAGCACAAACACAGAAGGGTATCTGGTTTGATTTCTAACTCCGGTCTGGGCAAGTTTGGGAGGCAACCAGTCTATGTGTCTCTCACATTGATGTCTCTCTCAGTCTCCCACTCCTGCTCTCCCTTTCACCCTCTCTAAAAATCAGTGGAAAAAATACCCTCGGGTAAGGATTAAAAAAAAAAAAAGAGAGAGAGGTAATTAGGATGGGCCTGAATACAGTATGGCTGGTGTCTTTATAAAAGGCGTAAATTTGGACACAGACATGTACTGAGAGGGAAGACGATGTGAGACACAGGGATATGATGGCATCTGCAAGTTGAGGAGAGGCTT